GCTATATGAAATCCTAAGCATTTATATCTATAAGGAATTATGTATAAGCTTGCTATCCTATTGACAAAAAAAATGAAATTTGCTAATATATGTGTATGCACACGGTCAAAGTGTTAACTCAATAAATGTATACATTGATTAGTAAGTGTATGCATATATTAAAATTAACATTTTGACTGTGATATATACATACATATACATGTGTATGCGTACAGACACAAAAAGTATGGTATTTTTGTGACATTTATCTATTGCTTCCGATGCTCAAAAGTAAAATAATTATGCACGTATAATTAAACAAATTATATATTCAACACGGATATCTTATAATACTCTGCAATGTGACACAAATTTATTGATCATTCCAGATCAAAAGCGATCATTCGTGATATAAAAATAGAATCTAACGTCCCTATAGTATTGTAGTGTAAGACTTATCGTGCAAAGTAATAATATTAAAAACAGCAAATTATTTTCCAATAAGTTTTATGCAAACAATGCTTTTTTGATACAGTGGAAGAATAGAAAATGTTATTTACAGCCGAAATAATAATAGTTGTTTAATACAGACCTCTCTCTATATAGGAATAGAATACGATGCATTTGTTAAATAGATATTCCGTAATAGATAAAATAAAAATATAATAACAGATAAATGTATAATTCCGACAGCTTATTCTGCGACGCGACGCATAAATATGGCATTTTGAGATTCGCACTGTTGTTTGTAATTATAAAAATCGTGTGATGCTAAACAGCATTCAAGAGCTGTGATGTTACTGCGACGATAAACTTGATATTTTCGCGGCACTTTAATATGTACTTAAAAACGCGATATACAAATATTCTCTTTAATCATAATTCTGGGTCTTTCTAGAAATTGTGATTTTATTCGTTTTTCTAGATGAGAGCGTATCTATGATGCCGCGATGAGTTCGATTTTAAAAAATTCTAATTAACATGAAGCATGAACAGAGCTTCAGTATCGCTGTTGAGTGGTGCTGACTCAAATTTTATCTCCAAATTACTTTGTGATATTAGTTTTTTATATTAATCTTTATGCACTGCCTATGTAGATTATAATATTATATATCATATTGTGTATCGTATGTATTGCAAAATATGAATTATGTTAGGTATATTAGTTTGAAATTTATGATAATTTTGCAACAACAAATTATTCGCATATAAAGCTAAATTATCAAGACCCTGGCCTTCTATTGTGGAACACATGCTGAGCCTTGATTAAGTTATTTTGCTACTTTTATAACGTATGATAAAAATTAAGTAAGAATAATAATCGGGTGTAATATTTATGCTAAATATTATATTTAATACCATTTAGTATAATGGTAAATATACACGAGTTACAAGTTAAAAAAAAACTTTGTGCGTGATTACAAGGTTTTTCCCTTTTTAAACATTATCTTTCTGATTTTAACGTATCAGTTATATTTAGTTGTTTTATAAGTAATTGCATTGACAACTTTCAAAATAATTCATAATCCATTAATCAATATTATTGTATTGTCTTGTGGCAAGCTTGTCAAATTCTATGATTTTTACTAATAAAAAGTAACCCGAGAGAGGTATGATCCCGTTCCACGAGAGAGGTATGATCCATATAAACAATAAGATTGGAAATAAGATCGTTTAAAGTAATGATCCATATACATATATCCAGCAGTATTATAGAATATTTTCAGTAAGTTGTTGTAAATTAATCAGACGTTAGATTATGCCATATATACATTTTTACTAAATATCCTTTGGTAGTGTATATTAATACCTGTTGCGCCGCCAATAACACAGAAATCCACGGGGACTTGGAATAAAGAAATCCGAACTCTGTGTCATTGGCGACACGGCATACCATGGTCGTAAGTTCGTGAGAACATTGAGAACGATAAAGATAATGTCTCTTGTACTGAAACATAAAGATATAACGTATATCCTTTCTCACAAGTTCTTTCGTCATTTTTGCTACATACACGTAGACATATTTTTTTCTTTATAGGAAACGTTTCGTTTTCATGTTCATACGCCGCAAGCATTCCTTGTCTATCAAATATTGAACAAGGACAAATGATGCTTACAAGCGCTATAAACGCAAAAACGAAACGCATTAATATTTATCCATACTCGCGAACTCACGAACAATAGGATATATCGTCATACCATGGTAGTTCAACGTCCAATAGAATAATTATACATATCTATTTAATAGATATATGTTTACCAAAATAACTCGATTAAATCCTTAATATAAGAATAGCACAACAGAATTGTATAGAAATGTAAAACATTCTGACAGTATTTCATCAGCGTATGGTTGATTCGAGGAATGCGTCTATGAAATATGTAATAAATGTATGTACAGTACAAATTATTTCCCTTATATTATTTGTGCTTCCTTTTATGTAAACAAAGTTGGAATCTTTAAAGATGCTTGAATCTCAATTTCCTTTCTTTTTTCTTTTCCTTCGTTTAGTTTGTGACATTAAAAGGTATCTTTTCTGGATTGAAATGTATTTAGAGATAATGTTACTTGTAACGTCCAAACTTTTTCGTTTAATAAATGATATTGTTATATGCGAATCATGAAATTTTTCAGAAAACGTCATAAACTTGGACTAACAAAAAAATACGAATGTTATTTTTCGCATGAATTGTCGCACAAGTGTGTTGAAACGTTTGCAATTCCTCGAGAATGTCTTTCCAACTATCGTGGATGGTCGTTGTACAAGTATGTTGCAAAAAGAAAAAATAAAACCGTACTATACATGTAGTTGGGCATTGTGTTAATTTTACGCCACACACAATCGTGTCATTTATCATAGATTGATATACCATACATTATTATACCTCGCTCATTCTACTCAGTGATTATATAAGGAGCAAGATAAGATTTCACGCAAGTGGAAGAAATTACTGTTGAAACAAATGGTCACGAAATAATGCACGATATCATGTATTTTAAATATTTATTCCTTTTTTTTTTCATTCAAAAGGACAATTTGTTTTTATTATATAAGATAACATTATCCTAAGCATCTTCGAGGGTTCAACACCCTACCGTACCTAAATTATTCTTTATATAACATCTTTTGTTTCCTCTCTTACGATTTTCCTACCGATTACATCGCAGGCAACTCCGCGGTTTCTCTTAAATTGGCTTTTCGTCCGTTATCGTTTTGTCGCAGCCAATCGAATCGTTACCATGCCCGGCTTTATTCATTTCCCTCGTTTACCTCGCATCTTGTTTATATACTGACTTTATACAAATTGGTTTTGAAATTTTTTTATGGCATTTTACCGTCGGTGGTGAACTGAAGTGATAAGCATTCTCACATATCAAGCATCATTGGATATAATCCATTTCGAGCCTCTTTATGAACATTCGCAATTACAAAATAAAATAATAAGTTCCATTATTCTTGAAATGGGGATATTTATACCGTTGGAACGGTAAATACTTGAACTCGATCTTCTTTTTCCGAATGCAATGGACGCGACGCAATCACGCATACAAATCTCGTAAAACAAGTTGTTTCGCAGAAAAACAACCATGTAATAGGGCTCGTATGTC